GGAGGAGGGCAGTCTCTGTAACACTGACCCAGATCGGTCTATCATGCCTCTTTGGATGCATCTAATATCTGAAAGGTTTTATCTTTATTTAATATAAGCTAACAGATTTAATACATCCACGGGTGCCTCCCACAGTCTGCAGACATGCATTCGGGCTAATGGGCATTTCTAAACTGCCCGTGTGTCTGGTGTACTGGACTGGCATCTCCTCCAGGCTGGACCCCGGCCTTGTGCCCTGTGCTGTCAGGGATAGGCGCCAGGCCCCTCAGCTACCCTGACCATGATAAGCAGTTAAAAACTGGATGGATGGATGGATGGATGGATGGAATAATTCTACAGTTATTGCAGTAACTATGTGTGGCGAATGAAAGCTGTAATGTACAAATGTGCTGCAGAAGGTGATTATACAGCGGCATGTGAGAGTGATTAAGTCATATGCAATTTATTTAAAAGGGCTACAAAGGCAGAATGGCTATATTGATGCAGGGTAGCTGCATGCTTTTGGGGCTGGTTTACGGATCGTCCTATTTAACTATCTGGCATCTATTTACTAAATGCTGGTGAGGTCTAAAGAGTTACTGCTGTTTTCTGACATGCATGATATGAACTTTGGGCTGAATTAGTAGGTGAATTGAGGTATTGTGCGATTAGATTAACTATCAATAGTTAAATGACTCAGTGGGATGTAATTTGCTATTTTGTACTATTACTTGCATATGTGTCATTTTAGCTTTTATTTGGTTCCTAATGAATATAATTTGAGCCCTAACTGGAAACAGTTGTTGTGAATGAGTGTCTCATTGAATGTGATTTTTCTTTTAGATATTGTGTAACCATGCCTACACTAGGGGCCATTTCCTATCTGTAAACCATGTGACTGTTTGGAGTTTCTTAAGCTTATAAAGTGTGCCCCCTCCTGGTCATTGTTCATTATAACACATAGTGTGGATTGTACAGACCACAGCCTTCGGTTGTGATTACAGTATTATTTGATCAAATCGATCTAAATCGACACAACAGTCTTCTTGAACCACAATTATTCTGGCTGCCATTACTACAGGTGTAATTCCTCATTGTGATCAATAGCATTTTGCTGTTTTAAGCTTATATTATAATTACATTGGATTACAAAATGTTTTTGAGACCTATGGTTTATAGACAGGTCATTATAACATGAGAATCCCTCTATACATCACAAATGACTACTACTAGAAGTGGGAAGGAAAATGCGTATAGGAGATGAAAATATTTTTGTATTTAATTAAGCATAAGAGCTGGAAAATTCTGAATTTCGAATCCTGACTTTTCTGTACCTCTGCTCTCCTTTCAAGTCGTTCAAACCCAGAAATACCACACAGAGATGTCAGCAGCCCGAGATCTGCATGTTCTGCACTGAAATAGGTCATGAAGTGGAGGAAGGTGGAACGTGTTGAGCAGCCTACAAAGGGGCACTCAGCATTTGTAGGTTTTATTTGTGGTTTACAAGATTTGTTTCCCAAGTTCTAGAATAGAAGATGGCTAGGAGAGCTGGATGACTAGGAAAGCAAGGAGTGCCAAAATACTCCCTGTATGTGTGTCACCACAAACTTAATTAATTATCTTAATTATTTGCATATTTGGCATATCTCCTGTTCACAGCAATCAGAAGACATATAGTGTAGAGCAGGGGTGTCAAACTCCAGTCCTGGGGGGCCGGAGCCCTGTGTAGCTTAGCTTGTTCCCAGTTCCACCACAAATTAATCAGCTCAAGGGATGTGTGGTAATTAGCACAAGAAGGTGCAAATGTGTTAAATGAAAGGAAACCCAAAAATGTGCAGGGCTCCGGCCCTCCAGGACTGGACATATTTAGCAGATATTTTTACCCAAAGCGAGATTTATTTTTGAGAGAAAGCAGGGTCCACCAGTCCCTGGAGCAACTGGGATTTAAAGGCCTTGCTTAGGGGATTAATAGTGAAATCACTCTGCCAAGTTGGAGATTTGAACCAACGACCTTCCGATTACAGACACGTTACGCCACTTATATAGTAAATTAATTCAGTTGGCAGATTAGGAGGCTGGGACTATCCTTCTGTGAGAGTTGACCGAGTGGTTCTCTGGACTGAGCTGGTGTGACTTTGCAGGGCACGACCCTCTCTTTGATTTGGGGAGCGATACCAGACCATCGTAGTGAGGTGTTTACTCCCCACTGATGGCTGCAGTGTATGCAGTCTAATACCCTCACCACCACTTTGGTATGGCTATTCCATTAGCCTCAGTCACCAACCCATTATTTATGGACAGATGACATATAGAAAGAAACTCTCTAACTCTGGCATGTGTTTGACCAAAGTGCTCTGGCCATCCTAACAGTAAGTACCTGACCATAACCTGTCGCTCATCGTCCGTTGCCATGGCATCTCTAACGCTGTCCTTTTTCGGTTTTGCGGTAGGTGTACTGTTCTCCACCTCTGTGTGTGTCACTCCTGTTCCACATGTTTCCGGAAGGGCTCCTGGGCGGTGATCGCACTAACAGGGTCTTATGCTTACTGGTGCATTCTCCTGTAAGCTTCTTGAGATGCATCAATACCCTCTGACATTGGATAGGCACCTTACCCAGGTCCTGAGAGTTCATCAGATGGACTAGGACCTTGAATTCCACTTGTACATATGGTGCCTGTCAAATGTCTGGACACACCTACTCATAGAAAGGCTTATTTATACTATTCTCTACATTTTAGAATAAAGACATCAAAATTATAAAATAACATATATGGAATTATGCACTGACCAAAAAGAATTAATCTGCTGAGGGAGGTGGGGCAGCTCTGTGGGGTGGGACTCAGAAGGTTGCCAGTTCAAATCCCTGTGTCAGCAGAGAGATCCCACCATTGGGCCCTTGAGGCAGCCTACTGGGAAGCTTCTCCAGCTGTCCTGAAGGAGGTCATACATGTATGCTGAGCACCCATTGGCTGCTTTTCCTTCACTCTCTGTTCAAACTTCTCCAAAACCATCTCTACTGTGTTTGAGTCAGGTGACCAGGTCACGTGATGCGACACTATCACTCTCTTTTGTAGGCAGCTTGGTGTGTCTAAACTCTTGAGTAGTACTGTACATGCATATTTGGGAGGGAGACTCACTTAGATGTCTGGAGCAAAGCACCACGGGCCTCCAGTCCCAACCACGGCGCTGCATCAGCACCCCTTCAGTCCCACCGTGTCAATGGTCACCATACTTCAGAGTGGGCCTCACAATATATCAAAGTTGGCCTCACTATACTTCGGAGTAGGCCTCATCATACTTCAGAGTAGGCCTCATCATACTTCGGAGTGGGCCTCACAATACTTCAGAGTAGGCCTCATCATACTTCGGAGTGGGCCTCACAATAATCCAAAATGGCCGATGCCACAGGGAGCTCTTTGATCTTCTGAAAGGCTAGCAGTTACACTGCACCTCAAAACCACGTGGACCTGGACCTCAGTGATTCATACAGCGATTGACCCAATATAATTTAATGAAAAATTTAACTTTGCTGGTAGCTTCACACCAAGTTTTCTAGTTACGATGTAGGTAGGAGGCAGTTAACTCATTAATAATTATTGATCACTGCTGGATATCTAACACAAGTATTAAACAAGCATTACATTTTATCAAAATAGTTGATTTCAAATTCTTAAATAAATTACAAATTAATTATTTCCACTTAATAACTTCCTGAAATAAAATAATAGGAATACAAAACTATGAAAAAAACTGACGGCTAAGAATTAGCCACAATGGAAGTAACACTGACAAATAAGTAATACACAGAAAAGCTAAACGATTACTAGTGTGGCAGCTGAGAGTGTTTATACATACACACCTGTGCTTCTGTGTGCGTCTATCAGTGTGCTGCACTTTCAGCACATACAGCAAGTGCTGTCACACTGATTTATCTTACAAAATGTGCTTTATAAAAGTCCAGCAAACCAAGAAGCAGTGAAAATGAAGCAAAAATTAAAAAGGGAGATAAACTGCTCTCTTAAAATATACATGGCTTTTTATACCCTCGTCCCCTTCGCCAACCCCCACTTTGGATTATACGCTTCCTGTTGATAATTCTTGCAATCCAGTCAGGCGCTATCTAGGCCACCCTATGAGCCGGGCTATATTTGGCTGGATTAGGACCCCTTGCTGCTTGTGACGTATGTGGAAGCCATTTTTTTTTCAAATAATCAAATGACAAAATACAAGGTATGTCCAAGTCAGTAATGACCTCTGTCTCCAAGTGCACTGCCAGCAGTAACAAATGAGAGCAGGAAGAATATGGAAAACAAATTTTTTGAGACAACTGGGACAGAGCTTTAGAGCTGTGGACATACCAAACTTCAACAGTAATACAAATATTTAATTGGCAGTTGAGATATGTTTAAAATAAATCCCAGCATCAACATCTTGATACATTTAGTTTGGCCATTTAACAGAATGAAGACTTAAAAATACTTTTCATGAAAACTATTCCTGGTAGTTGTGGGTTGTTACTCTCCGGCAGTGATCATCTTCTCCAGCTCCCCAACCCAGTCACACGGAGACTCCTCTTCAAAGTCCCTGTAAACATACACTTCTTATATCACTGCCATATACTGCTGTAGTGTGACAAGAAACTGCAGCAGCAAACAGAGATAAGACCCCAAAAATAACTATTGAATTTTATTGTCCAGTGAACACCATGTCCGCTGAGTCAAGATAAGCCACATCAGATATGTACAGTATGACGAGGGCCTTTAGCTGGAACTCCACCCTGTGGCTGAAAGGTAATAACATGACTTAGCATCCATCTGTGCGATGAATCACAAGGCATGACCTGTGCCAGTGACTGATTGTATCTACAACATAAAATACACCTCAGGTTTGACATCAAGATGTCCATTTGACATGCGGCGCTACCTAAATCCAACGGGCCTCGTCAGCTGGATCTCCAGCAGATGACTTACGTGTCTTCGTCGTCAGACCGTGGCTCCAGTCTGGAGTCGTCAACGGCATCTCCCACAAGTCCGTCTGTGTCATCGCGTCGTGCTGGGGACAGAGGGCCGACCAGGGGATTGTCACCATCTGAAGGGGACACAGAGGAAAGAGAAAGTGACCTTCATACAGCAAGTGTAGCTTCAGACAAGACAGATCAAACTAACTTTGCTGGTTTCATGTGAAACTGCTAGAAAGGAAGGCACTCGGTACAGCTGCCGTATGCATTCAGTCCTGCTACAAGCATGATATCTCTTCTAGTGTGAATGACATATTAGTACCCAAGTCCAATACAACGTTATTGTATTTGTGCGATTTTCAGCAAAAAGCACTAAGCGAACTGCAATAAGGTCTTAGCGAGAAACATTATAAGCACTAACCAATCTTTTGAACCGGTTCTTTTCAATTGGCTGAACCAGTTTTCAAATCTACAAGAATCGAACTTTTTGTATATCTACACATTGCACGTAATGTTTGCCATGGAATGCACGTTTCATTAGTGTACCTGTGAGTGTCGTGTAAATTGCCGGCTTCCCTGTCTTTGCCACTGCTAGTGTTAAACCAATATCGGCTGTTAATAAAGAGAGCAATTTCCATTTCCTGAGTCATCTTCTTCATTAAAATGATTCACGCACTCATCACAATATGTTTATTTTCATTCTGTATGTGGGTCTGCTGCATCAAAAACATTCTGTGTTCTCTCGGGTTGGGGAGTGACATAAAACGAAGATTGTGGTCAATTTCGTTTGGTTCAGATGTCATTTGAAGTAGGGATGCTCATATTGACCGTTTAACCGTTAACCGAAAGAATGAATTTTGACCGATTATTACTATCAGTTAAACGGTTTAAAATGTTTTTATATATATTTTTATTATTATTATTATTAGTAGTAGTAGTAGTAGAAAGTTTTGCGGCATAAATATGCTACACACACGCTATTTGTTAACTCATGGGGCGTTTTCACGTGCAACCACACGTGCCTTCAGACGTATTTTGCCGGGCAAGCAAAATGAAGCGAGCGAAAAGAAGTACTTATTCTTTTTATTTATATAAATTTGTTTTTCTCTGTTGTCGGAAACGATGCAGGTGCATGAAAATTTGACGATGTGTGAATCCAGATTCTGTTCTTAATATGTTCTGTGTGCTGTTGTTCGCACATGTTAAAATAAAACTGAAAAAAAATGTTCGCATATTTAATCAGACACTCCTCAGTTCTATTTTCATTCAATTCTAATTTAATATTCTAATCTGATCAGTTAACGATTAATGTTCGGATAACGAACGCCGGTTGTCGGTTGGGAAAATTAATCTAAATGATCATCCCTAATTTTAAGCATTCGGCCACCTTCACTCACCTGGCCGAAGCACAGTGAAGGTTTTGAAAGCCATGCTAACGGGAGCCTTTTCCAGCAAACTCAGCAGCCTCTCGGGGGGGCTCTTGTCCCATTGCCTTCGATGGCTGATCTCAGACTCCTCAGAGATCAAGCTCCCTGAAGGGCAGAGACATTAATAAACACAGAGCTCAATAAATGGCAAACTGACCACTTAAGTGGTGGGCAGTAAAGCTAGGTCCTTACGTGGGGTGAACTCTGGGCTACTCCTATGTTCTCTGGAAGAGGAGGTGCAGGAGGAGGTGCTGGTGAGTTCAGCATTTCCGAGGACCTCCAGCACGGTCTCCGACGGCTCCCTTGCCCACCTCCTGCGAGGTCGCTCCCTCTCACCCTTACCCATGGGGTCCGACGTTTCAGAAAAGCTTTCTGATTTTTGGCAGAAGAGTGCATGAATTTATCTGCTCTCTGCAGCCCTAAAATCTGTGCAATCAACCACATCAATTACCTTTCCCCAAAAGGTCTTTACAACAACAGTCCCACAGTCTCAGTGTCACCAGGCATCATTAATAATTTGGGAACCTATCACTGTTCAAAATGCTAAACACCAGAATGATGTATGTATACAACAGAAGAATTCTACCTCCCACTGAAGACGATGACAATATGGTCTTCTGCCCAAGGAATGCAGCAACTTTCTCCCCTTCATCCCTCTCCCATCTGGAAGTTCTTCCTTCCTTCATTCCTTCCTTCAGCTCCTAGAGTACAGAACCGTCTAAGAGCACTGACTTTTCTGCTTGGGTTAATATCAAACTTTGGACACCACATCTGTAACACCTGAGCAAGAGAAACTGGTCCCTTGGTTAAATACATACGTGTAAATAAGCATCAGGCTTAAGCTCTCCTCATACCACCCCATTAGCCAAAATTATTCTCAAATGCTGGTATTTCTTAAAGACCAAAAAGTGCACAAAATAACCACAAATCTGTACAAATCAGTTTTGATGAGCAATTATAAGAATCAGTGTCTGCACTGATTCCACAGTTTATTCATTTACACACTGGGAGATAATGCCTGAGCATCTAGCACATGCACGTATATGTACAGACCATATAGTACACAAATGTACCTGGATATTGCACAATAGCCAATCAAGAGACTGTCAGCTATGACCTGCTGTAAGTAAAATCTAGTCAAGGGAACGTCTGAAAATCACAGCTTTTCAGAAACATGTACAAATATTCAAATAAGAGATTGTAAGAGATGTTTTTGATAATGGTGCAAATGTGACTATTTATAATTGTTTATCTACAATTATGTCAGGGCACAAACCTATGCCACTTTACACAATAATGCAGTATAGTCCTCACTGAACCAGTGCTTCAGCCTAACATACAATTTGAGAGGGTGACTGAACTCACATGAAGGGGCAGGTGCTTCTGCAGAAGCCTAGAGATACGATGCGAGGTTAGGATGGTGTGCAGCGAGGGCCGGTCCCGGGGGTTAGTCTTGAACATTTGCTTGACCAAGTAGTGCAGCTCATAGGGCAGGTGAGCAGGTAAAGGTGTGTAGGCACCTCGACACACCTTCAGGATGAGGCTCTTCCAGCTGCTGGCCTGGAACTGATGGACAGCGGAGGGGGCAAAGGTGAGGATGGGACGTGTGAAACTGGACTGGGTAGGGAGAACCGCTCAAGTGGCAGCGGCCAGCGGTGGGTTTGTTGTTTCTGGGGCTCTGATCAAAATGTCACTTTTGGGGCAAACCTCAGATGTAGCAAAAACTAAAGGAATAGCTAGCGAGCAGAGGCTAAATATTGTAGCTAGCTCACTGGTTAGCAGAACAAGCTGCTTCAGCATCTAAGGAACATCCATTTAATATTTAGCGTAGTGACTGTTTGTGGCCAAACCTTAAGGTGATGGCATGTGCTCCCCCATTTCGACAGGATGTGTGAAAGACCAACGAGTCCATTTCCTCACAGGGATCCTGCACGACGCTCACGCCAAGTGGAGATGGATGACTTCAGATCTTCCACTAGAGTATGCAATTAGATTTAAATGTCTTTGCTCTCTCCTTCGCTCTAATTGCGATCTAACTGTGGGTAATTTTATTTTAAGAGGAAATAATCCATCCATAAATTTTCTCATCATCACTTATCCTGTGCAGGGCTGCAGTACACCATGAAGTCCCAGGAAGGCAGAGTACCCCTGGGGAGGGACGTTTAATGGATTTTTAATTTTATTTTAATGAAACTTACTTTCTGATGTTGAACTATTATTACTATTAAATATGTATATAAATGATTGATGACAGAGGATGACAGTATACTTGGCTGCCAAAATAAAATGCATTTGCACTGATGATTTTGGTCCAGATGGTGATGAGAATCATCCCCCTTTCCATGGATCAGAACTTCTGCTTGACCAGAACTTACTGAACTTCACTGCGTAAAGACACAGAACCCCACAGTGAACAAAAAGGTGGAGGAAGAAAGAGAGGACAAATAGCTACAGTGACAGCGGACTCACAGGGTGAGAGAGGGCACAGAGCTCATAGAGGACGGATAGCTACAGTGACAGCGGACTCACAGGGTGAGAGAGGGCGCAGAGCTCATAGAGGATGCAGCCCAGGGACCAGACGTCACTGCAACACACAGAAAGATCCATCAGCTACTCCAGATGACTGAAGCAGTATTAGATCATGTGCTTCGCTACAGTTTCAGCAGGTAGTCACAAACAGTCTGACTGTCATTGTACAGAAACAGCCGTGCAACCAGCAACTTCAAACTTTATTTATTTATAGTTACCATTACTTTCTGTGTCCCCTTATCCCACATTACGACAGAGACTAATAAAATCCTGCACTCTAACCAGGTTAAAGTCTGTGTAACTTAACGTCAATGGGGTTTATGGGCATTAAGAATCCAGATTGTTTAATATTTTTATCTGCAAAACAGTACACGATAAGAGCTGAATCAGACATAACTACAAACCATCTGAAAAGCAGTTTTACATCTTACCTCTTATTATTGTATGGCTTGTTGTCCCAGATCTCTGGTGACACATAGTAAGGTGTTCCAACATAGGTGTACGCATAGGCCTTTGCACTTTTTGGAAAAAATGAGAGCAAAAGCACGTTTAACAATGACATCAGGTTTTCTGACCCATAAAGAACGACAGAGGACCTTTCTGTACCTGTTAAGAACACATGATGACCCAAAGTCTCCCAGTTTAACAGCGCCATCGCTGGTGAGGAATATGTTCTAGGCAGAAGGAGGAAGAAAACACCGGAAGCAAACAACAATGTGACACAGGTTTAATGAAATGTGGAAAGACGACAAAAAAATACAGGTTGCATCTATGGGGTTTGGCAAAAGAGCAGGCTTCCTGCTCACCTTGGATTTCAGGTCCCGGTGGAGGACTCGCTGATCATGGATGTGCTTTGTCCCAACACACATCTGAGCAAACCAGCTCAGGATCTAAAAAAGTGTCACCGTCACGCAGACATAAAACTCAGGTAGGGTAATTCACCTTGGTGTAATAGGGGGCGCTACTGCAACATACTAGTGCGACATACTTTGGAAGCAACAAGTAAGCAGTGCGCTGTTCAGTTCAGTTGCTGTAGGTGATTACACAAGCACAGGGTACTTAGGAAAATTTCTAGCTGCGATGCCGAATTCTGATTTATTTACACTGTTTTATTACCATATCGGGAGGGAACGGGGTGTTTTTCTGCTGCTTGATCCTCTGTAGCAGATCCCCCCCAGCGCAGTACTCCATGACAATGTACAAATGTCCGTCAGCTGCAGAACAAAGAATACCCCCTGTTAATTATCGGTCATAGTCATGTTTAAGATTAAGTTGTTTCTTAAAAGATAAATGAAAAACACCTTCAAATGAGTCTCTGAAGGCCACAATGTTGGGGTGCTTCATCTTGGACAGGAGTACGGCTTCCCTCCTGGAATTCTGAATTCCCGTCGGACTCTATAATAATTCAGATATAAAAATCTAAGCACGTCTTTCTGTTAATGAGAAAACAATATGTAGTGTGTTGGCAAGGATGACAGTTAAGGGCATTACCTTCGGTAAGCGTATCTCTTTCATCACATATTGTTCGCAGCTGCTTTTCTGCTCGACTTGCAGCGCTCGACCAAAAGACCCATCACCGATTACTTTTAGGATTGTGTAGCCCTCCATATTCAGACGTATTTAAACTACAGGCTGCAAAAAACGCATAATTTGTACGAGTCAATGGGCAGCCGACATTATTCCAATTCAAACAAAATGGAAAATTCGCAAACAATTTAATCATCATATCATTAAAACTGCGCCGTGTGTCTGACGAAAACGAAAAATGTCATTATAATTATTACCTAGTTATCGTTATATTAAAAACGCTTTTCCCGTAGCCGTGCCATTCACAACAATGCCATGCATTGTGCCCACGTACGGGACACGGGTGTGTTTCCGCCTTGTGCATGACGTAGGATGCCGACGTCATTCCTCCATAAAAGCGATAAGCACGAGAACACGTGTGTGTGCGTGTCACTATTTTCAGTTTTGTAGTTAAAAAATAAATTAGAGATTAGGTCTTCAGCTAAGCAGGAATTTAACAGTGCATCTAGGATTTACTAAGAACTGAATTAACAATTAGATATTTAATATGATGAGTCAATATTACGTTTTCATTTAATTTTCTTTATAGATTTAAATGAAAATTGTTGCCAATCTTACAGTAAAGTATTAACGTCAGTGTAATATATCAATAATAGCTATATTTTACAGGCGACAGAGATTCGGGAAGTTAAATTTTGAATTTCGTTTTATCGCAATTTTGCCACTAGGGGGCAATAAGCGCGTATCTCTTTGTAACCTGCCCGGCACCGAAAAAAATCGTGGAGCGTTAATTTAATTGCATTAATAAATTAATAACAGTGCCCTCACATAATCCTGCATTATGGTATCGAATGTCATTTTTGCTTTTCTGTTTCTAGTTTCGTGTCAGTCTCCTCCAGGAACTCATTTTATTTCATCTAGTGCAAACATATTTTAATTTCTCATGCTATTACCAATTGAGGTGCAGATAAGTGATATTGTAGGGGGAATAACATACTGGATACGCACACATATTTATATTTATACGTATATGTATCTTGGAACAATGTTTGAAGGGGCAACAGATGGCCATGGTTCCCTGCAGAGCGATCACCCTGCATCACGTGATCTAAAGCCAGTGCTATATCAGCAGTAAAAATACTTTTGCTATATTTAAGGTATGATGTAACACCCTCTTGTTCTGTTTTGGCCCTCATTTTTTGAATCCCTCAAAGGGATTCTATGGTTGAAAAAGACATTTACGCGTCATTTGACTCTGTCCCTCCTTCAATTATATGATGACGTAAATTACATTTGGGTTAATTTTTATGTCTAGCCCTGAAATTACATAACATTCCAATGCCTAAGAAGTATATCATATTTCTTAAAACTAATTATTTTCCTGAATTAGTGTCACAGATATCCTGGAACTTTGGAGGTATGCTATGCTATGTGTAACAGCTGAATCTACAATAAATGCTTGCATTTTAGTCTGCTGTATTGTAAATTGCTGTGTCTACACTAGACAGCGAGGAGTGTGATCGATTAGACTGATGTGCCTTTAACCAGCCAGTGGACAAGAGTAAGAAAAAACGCGTTATTATCCTGCCAGGAGTTTGCGGCATAATAATAAAGATCTGCATCCATTGCATTGTGAATGGGACAGTTAAGATGAGGTTTAAGGCTTAATTTTGACATGAAAGAAAAGTTAAATGCAGTCGTTAGTCTGCAGAAATTTAGTGGTTATTTCATGGTATTATTATAGTGGCAGCATCGAAGCTTAGCGGGTAGCGCTGTTGCCTAGCTCATGCCACCTAATTACTGACAGATTCACAAAATCCTAAAGAAAGTAAACGAAACTGGAGTTTACCTAGTTGTAAAATCACAAATATACCACCAGGTGGAAGCATGTACACCTCTGAATGGCGCCCTTTGCATAGTCTGGCTCAGAACAGTGTTTACCAGCTGTGTTTGTTCAGGGACATCCCGTTACAAATACCCAATAGCTGGTCAGTTTATCGCAGTCCTCTTTAGACAGGTGAGAGGAAAATAAAGATAATTTGTATCTGAGGAAAGGACTACCATTAAAACTTTTGTTTTATTTATTTAATTTAGGGGAAAAGTTCCATAACTCTGCTCTTCTCAAGCCAGTAGAGACTGCGGTTAGTGCCAATGTACTGGTGTGTGTTTGAGCCACACCCCTCCACCCCTCCAGTTGTGTGTTCAAGGCTGCCCCAAGGTCTACCTCGCTTTTTTCTTTTTTTTGGATTTTCCTTGTACCTGTTATGGTTTCTCTGTGTTACTGTTTTGGTTTACTCTGCCTCTAACACCGTCATGCAATTTTTATCAGTTTTCTTTCACCTCTCCACCTGGTGTATGCAAAATATCTTGAATTAATGCTCTGTGAAATTACTAGCTGATATTTACAAGAAACTCATGTGCTCTGTTTGAAGACAAGTTAGCATCTGTATTGTATGAAGCCCTTGGGCGTCGTCTTGATTTTTTTCTTAATTGGCAGTGCTTTTTGGAAAATATCTTCAAATGTTGTAATTTCTTGTAAGCAGGTATGCACACACATGACATTATTAAGCTTGAAACTTGCCCACCCTTATGTCTAGGAGCACAGAGTACCTGACTTTCACTTGGCCCTGGGAGCCCTGAGTACATAGCTGTCTCGCTTGCCCCAAATGTGTCAGCACACGATGATCAGACATTTGTTTGATGCTTTGTTACAGTGGCAAGTGGTATCAGTCATCAGTGGAGATGAGAGAGAGAGAGATAGAGAGAGAGAAGAGGAGTGCTGACCTATTAAATTGTGGGATCACTGAGTGAGCCCCCACCCCCCCCCAGAGTGCTGATTGAGGTCCCCTGTGTGGGCACTGAGCCCTGTACCCATGGGGAAAGGGGCAATCAAGAAGAAGACCAGGGTCTTTATTGAGCCATGTGCAGTTTAGTTTGTTTCCTGACATTTTATTTTTTTTAACAGGGAATTCAAATAACCCACAATGGACTGTTTCATTACAGAGTTACATCAACTGACAAATAGTCACCGATAACTTATTTTTGGTCTTCAAGAAGCAGATGGAATTGTATTCATAACAATTGACGATGTGAACGTAGTCAAACAGCTTTGTGAGACAGAAACACGACTTTTCAAGTCATCTTATTGTTTCATGTGCAGTTGGTCTGCATTTCATCGAACGGCATGTTTCTGGCCCAATATTGTTCAGGATGTCGGGTTGTGAGAATGTCTCCACTGCCGGCACCTGTAATTATGTGACAACCTCGCTGTAAATCGCTTAGGATTGATGGGGTTTCAGCATCTGTCTCTGTGATTCAGGGCTTCACCCGCGGATGCGATAACTAGGGCAGCTGCGGCGTCAGACCCATTATTCGTGAATATAAATGACTCTCGGGATTAATATTGCATATAAATCAGAAAATCGCGGCTTTCAGCACAGTTTATTTTCACGCTCCCTCCTGAGTCGCAGTACCGAGACAAAGCGGAAATAACCCAGCGAGAAATAAGCTAAACAAAGTTCTTCGTCACACTTTCGTATTGCTTTTTACACTTGAATGAACACACCGCATTCACAAAAGCAATTTATTTACATATATGATCAAATAAAAGCATTCATTATGTAAAAAAAAAATCATTGTAATATTACACAATATACATGTACGATAACCATCACCAAACGGGCACATTAAACATTCAATATTCAGAGATATAAGCGAATGGGATCTTCGGCAAAACAGCGGGGATGAAGCTGACAAAGTCATAATGGACTATCGTTATTTCAAAACTTGAAGATGATGTGTATTAGATGGAAACGGTTTTAAGAACGAATTGTTAAATGTGAGGCCAGTAATCCCCATTGCATTGAATCTTTAACAAAATTCTTCCGAGCAACACGTGTATTCACTGGAGAAAACTTCAATGCACATCTAAGGCTTATCAGCCAGCCATGAAGTATGCTGAGAAAGCTTCTTTCGTAGCAGGATTCAAAGGAAGTACGACTCTGAAGGTCATGGCATAATGTACGTCCATCTGCGTATGAATGAAGAACAGGGAATGGCGTTCTGAAAAATGGAGCCAGAGTAATTACCCCTGATGGGAACTGTATAATGATTATTGATATATAACTCTAATCACTGAAGCGTAATATTCTTGGAAATGTGAATAGTTTTTATTTTAATTGTAACATTTATGAATTATATTTATGTTACAGTACCCTGGGGATCAGGTTGAGAAGACTGCCATAAAAGTGCAAATTAATAGTGTTGTTTTTCCACTGTGGGGACAAGCAAGGACAAGGTGGAATTAAAGCAAACAGGGCCAAATAAAGTGGGGGTTTATTACATTTCTTTTGATATCAAGGTGTGGACTGTGACTTAAAAGGAAAAAAGGCAACCTGACCTCCTGAGGAAATGAAAAGGGGGGTTATAAGCAGGAAGGTTTTTATAAATATACATTTAATAACATACTTTTGGGAACATTGATAAATTGTTTACATTTGAATCAATTGTAAACCTAATTTTACCTTAATCAGTGGCAGTTTGGTTAGTCTAAGTTTCCTGTATTACATATGTATAAAAACATAAATAATAATCAGTCCATGAATACTTAAAATGTTTACAACAAATATGCAATGCAATATGCTCTTAAAAATCAGGACTGAACTCCATTAGTCAGAATCATAATACATACATTACAAATAAGTGACTGCTTATGTGAAACCAAACTGCTTTAATGTGAACTAGATATAGATTTGCTTTTCTATATTGTTATAGGCTTTTGTTGTATAAATGTACAAATATACACGCTAATATGAGATATATAAAAACAGTCCTGCAATGGTATTACAACCAAGGTGTTTGGTCTCTTGTGATGCGTCAGATGACCAGCCTTGAGGAATGCTGGGAAATGTGGTTCCAAGCGTCCCACCCCATCGACCGCAGGCTTAGTAGGGGTAGTGCTTCTGTCTCTTCCCGGCGAAACAGGCCAGCCACATACACACCAGAATGGCCAGGGCAGCACCCCCTGCAGTGCAGTAGAAAGCCCAGCCGATCTCACAGGACCCTACAGAAACAAACATACAAGGAAACCAATGGAGACTGAGTGGCTTGAGTGTATCCTGGTATTTTATCCTTTTTGTCCCATCATGAGGATGGCATGGTGCCTCAAACAGCCAGCCCTGCTGCCTCAGGCCCCCAGGGCTGGGGCTTTGAATCCTGCCCTGCCTTAATGTTTAGTGAGCTTGTATATTCTCCCTGCGTTTCATAGGCCAACAGACATGCAGTTACTGTCCCTATTCCACCATGCGCCTCATACTGTACTACGTGTGCCTATTGTACACCCTGCATTGCTCTGAAAAGCCTAAGCTACAGGAATCCTCGGGTGGTTCAAAGAACTTCATTTTAGTTTCAACTTTTTGCAACTAATGAGCAAAATATAGATCAAACGAGGAGATGGCAAGTTTCCACCCAGACCCGTCTAGTATATCTGACTGTTAAATTGATAAAAATTAATTTCAAGGAGATTTGGGACCATTTCATATGTTACGGTTGCTGTATTTGCATTAAAACTTATACAGTGCAAAATATAAGCTAAATCTTTTAAACAAAATGAGGATAACATGTTAAATTAAAGAATTTTAAAATAAGATATGTATTTCACTAATCACCATAGGCCAAAACTGTTAGAAGTATTTCAGATCTCATTTTGATAGGTCAAAACCATCAGGATATCAAATGCATAGTTACCCAGTTGATTTCCAGAGTCATACAGTTAACCTATTTCTTTTTTCTAAATAATTATTTAATTTTTTTAAACAGGGAATTCAAATAACCCACAATGGATCCAGAAACTTGATGCAATCTAATTATACCACCTGCCGTCACTTTTACTTAAAACCTCTGACTCTGAAGCTCATTGAATTGCTCCAGCGGGTGGCCAATTGTCAGTTTAGGACACTCAGCATTTGTGGACTTTGAATTACTGGAAATTAAACCGGGAATAAAAAATGTACAGCCTTCTTATGTCGAACTTCTGCAGAAGTTGCTTGAGCGATGCTGTGGGTAATGGACAATGTTGTTCCCTGTTCCCTTTCACTTGTGTTTCATTTCATCTTCATATCTGATGCATATTAAAAGGAATATCTCATGAAATACAAAATCAGACTATTTTCATTTCTTCAGCTCTCAGTGCAGCTAAATTTGGACGTAAGACATTTCAAAATATTATGATAAAATTCTTTTCTTCCAGATAAGAAGAAAAAGCACTCCCCAGAATATTGTAATAATGAGCTCCTATCAAATACTTGTATGTTGTTAATGAGTTAGATCAAAGGCAAACATCTTTTCCTTGCACTGACATGGACTCTTGCACATTCTGTACATTTACCAACTACACATGCATGCTAAGTTTATATCAGCCAGCCTGCATGTGACCATTGTCTCTTTATATATTGACTGTATGTATGAGTGACAGTTGGAGACAAACATAACTGGCCAATACACCTGATTCTGTTTCTGCAATTTACAGCCAAGGGTGCAGTGATGATTTTGGGAGGTTTTTCTCAGCAGGGTGGGTGGTGTTGGGGGAACAGCTTGGATCATGGCTGGGAGCCGACACCCAGGCTCTCGCCTGCGCAGGCTTCACGAACAGGGGGGGGGGGTCGCCACAAGCAGCTGACGTTGACATGAATAGGTCTCTGCTTCTCTACATTCTCTTTCCCGATTCATCTTAGATGTGTGCGATTGGTCTGAAGCCTGCGTGGCGTTTGGGCCACGGCTGTCTGGGCTATCGCGCGTGCACGTGACTGCACAGACATTTCTGCGCAGGCGGCTGAGAGACTTACCCAGCTGAAACTGGTTTGAGTTGTTGCTGCAGGTCTGCCTGACTTCCTCACTGTCCCATCCCAGGGGGTAGAGGGCACATCCGGATCCGATCAGCAAACCTGCACACGCCAAGGACAGCATCGGGGGGGGGGTGAGTTATCTGTGCTTCCCTCACATTTCATACAATATTTCCAATCAACCAATCAATAAATTCGGGATAGAAAAGATTCACCCAACCATCATCTTATAACCACTTGTCCAGTACAAGGTGCCAATCCCAGGAGGCACAGAGCACAGGCCTAATCCCCCACAGGCCTAATCCTAACCCCACACATACCCAGCCAGGGATGGGGTCCAAACCCAAGAGGCGTGAGGCTATACTGCTACCCACTGAGCCTCAGTGCCGCCGTAGAACTAAACAACGTGGTCAGATATCTTCATGGTCGCACTTCATTCAGCTGTGTAAATCTACAGCTATGCACCAACACTCAATCATTCTACCAGCGGCTGACCATCTGTCATTAATAATATCATAGGCATTTTTCAAGCACCTCTTGAAGAGTTTCTCAGGGAGAGAGAGCATGGAGAGTGAGAGGCAGAGGGCCACCCAGGGAGACAGAGATTTAATATCATCTGTGATTACAGAGAGGAGGCAGAACGGCTGCACACTCTCACCTTGTTATCCTATCCCTCAATTTAGCATTTCACGAATATTCTCCTGAAGACTAAGGCTACTTTCAGCCTTGTCTGTCATCAAGAAAACTTTCTCTATATGGCATATTGAGATCTCCATGCTCCCCTCATGAAGGAGTTAACAGTAAGGCACACGGATGCATGACCAAGACTTGAAAGACTCATGCTACCATAGCCGTATCTGCCGGAGCTCACATACTGCACTCACCTAACTGTTTGCGCTGCCTCTAGTCTCCCCTACTTTGGTAAATTGCACATTTTATTTCCTCTACTCCTCCTGGGCTGTGCTGCCTGGAGACCCCAAAATATCAAGATAACCTGCCTACCCTGCTGCCTGTGACGTCTCCACTACCTGTGACGCCCTTCCGGCCTGCTCGCCCTCCTGCCTGTGACGCCCTTCCGGCCTGCTCGCCCTTCTACCTGTGACGCCCTTCCGGCCTGCTCGCCCTTCTGCCTGTGACGCCCTTCCGGTCTGCTCGCCCTTCTACCTGTGACGCCCTTCCGGTCTGCTCGCCCTTCTGCCTGTGACGCCCTTCCGGCCTGCTCGCCCTTCTGCCTGTGACGCCCTTCCGGCCTGCTCGCCCTTCTGCCTGTGACGCCCTTCCGGCTTGCTCGCCCTTCCGGCCTGCTCGCCCTTCTGCCTGTGACGCCCTTCCGGCCTGCTCGCCCTCCTGCCTGTGACACCCTTCCTGCCTGCTCGCCCTTCTGCCTGTGACGCCCTTCTGGCCTGCTCGCCCTTCTACCTGTGACGCCCTACCGGCCTGCTCGCCCTCCTACCTGTGACGCCCTTCCAGCCTGCTCACCCTTCTACCTGTGACGCCCTTCCGGCCTGCTCGCCCTCCTACCTGTGACGCCCTTCCAGCCTGCTCGCCCTTCTGCCTGTGACGCCCTTCTGGCCTGCTCGCCCTCCTACCTGTGATGCCCTTCCAGCCTGCTCGCCCTTCTACCTGTGACGCCCTTCCGGCCTGCTCGCCCTTCTGCCTGTGACATCTCTCCTTCCTTCCCTGTTGCTGTACCACTGTTCATCCTGCCATCAGAAGCAGCATCAGCACCTGCCTGCCATCACCTGCCTGCCCCCCTGCTTTGAAACTCAAATGTTAAAACTGGGACAGTGTGAATTGCGGCTTCTCCATCTTGCTCATCTGACTTCCTCTGCTGCCCCCTGGAGGATGGGCTCCCCCTTTGAGTCTGGTTCCTCCTGAGGTTTCTTCCTTCTAGGGAGCTTTTCCTTGCCACTGTCGCCTCTGGCTTGCTCACTGGAGGCAATGTAATGTTGTGAAAATGCACTATAGAAATAAAATTGAACTGAATTGAATTGAATTGAAAAAATACGCCACTTCCGCAGCATTAAGCTAAACCTTGGCGTTTATCTGAGTCCTGCAGGACACCATCCACAGCAAATTAAAACCACTGGTTTTGCCGGGCTGTGCAATGTGTTACAGCTGTAAGGAAGATATTAGAATGTTTCATTTAACAATGGCCCACTTATGAAAAGCACTCTGGTGCCATAATAACTGTAATTACACTGAATACCACTGAGCTCACCACTGTATTAGAATTTACAGCTTTTAGGAATATACTCCAGGACAGTGTATCTGCCTCTGTCCACCCTGGGCCTGAATTCCTACTAACAGCTTCCTTATTCATACAGCCTTTCAATTAAATGATAAAACGGTGTGTCTCAAGCAGACAGGTTGGGCTCCTTCAATCACAGATGTCATGGCTCAGTGTCACAGGAGGACACACTGTCATCTCATACACAGAAGATTGTGGGTTTGAATCCCACACATTTACACGGCCCGGTTTCCTCCAGCTGTCCTAAAACATAAAATTTAGGTGAATCTGCATCTTTAAATTACTCATTGTGTGCATTCATGGACCTGCACCACGTCCAGGATGCCTCGGTACATCCTGAGAAAGGTTCAGGGATCTCCTCGGCCCTGCACTGGATAAGCAGTTGGCAGATATGTGTATTTGTATAAAGCAGACCCACTCCATGCCCTTTCAGAGCTGATAGCATAGCTGTGAATGCAAGGAATATAAATGGAAAGCTCAGATTCTATGCTGTAGTGATTCCCTGAAGGACCTACAGTGAAAGTGGACCTTGGAGCTATGGAACCTGATGGTCCCGATGAAGGAAGCACTGTCAGAAAAAAGTACCAATTTGCACCTTTGAGGGTACAATTACTTGTGACTGGGGCTGTACCCTCAAGGCTCTGCCAATTATACTCTAGCTGTGGGTAAATGTACCTTTTAAGGTACAGAAATGGACTCTGAGGAACATTGGGGATACATTCATGTTGTATATGCCTTGGGGGGGGGACTGTACCCTTTCCTGACAGTGTGCTGTTACTGTTATGCTTTCTCACTGAATATTAAACAAAAAGCTGGAATTTTCATTTTCATTTGCCAAGTAATGCTGTTAGTTAAAGAGGTGTGTAATTGGATTTAATTTCCCCTCAGAATGAAGTAGGAAATGTGAACGCACCCACATTCACACACTCTGAAGGTGACATTGGGGGAGGGGCTGCCTTTCTCTCTCTTAAGACCCCCCAGTTTCTCAAACGTGACGCTCGCGCAGAAAAAAACACGCAATAGTGGCAATATGGTTACAGTGTCTGAACTGAGGTGGTCCTGCACATTTCATTCAGGCGTTTAATTTCTCTGGTCTGCTGTCTACCCCGAGGGCTTAATTATGTCAGACCTCTTCTGTCTTGATTCCAGCCTGAGCCACTGAGAGAAAGAGGAATGGAAGCAATGGGAGAACATTCTGGAAATGGAAACAGGAAGTGGGCAGTTACATGACTTACATTACTTTGCAATGAACTTGGGGTGTGTGTGTATGTGTGTGTGTGTCTGGATTAGGTTTATATTACACTATGAGGACCAAATGTCCCCCACAATATAATAATATAATAAAAACCTGCTTTTTGACGCGGTGGGGACCATTTTTCAGGTCCCCACAAAAATCTTCGAATGCAACCAAAAAAGTACAAATTCTGAAAGTTATTTTGTTTGGTTACTTATGGTTAAGGTTAAGGTTGGGTAGGGATGAAGGTGGTCATGTTGGGATTAGAGTTTACCCATTAGAAATGAATAAAGAGTCCCCACAAAGGTATAATCACAAACCTCTGTGTGTGTGTGTGTGTGTGTGTGTGTGTGTGTGTGTGCGTGTGTGTGTGTGTGTGTGTGTGCGTGAGTGAGCATTTAGCCCACAAATAAAAACATGAAACAAACATCTTGTGGGCTCCCCTAATTCCACGTCCTCTGACTGACAGCACAAAAACGTCTCTCGTAAGTCCCTGGTATTTGTGTGGCCTGTGCTGTGTGATGATTTCACATGGAAAAAATCAGCTGAAATACATGCTCACGGTCCCCAGGGCTGTGTGCTTATATCAAGCATGACAAATTCTCTAAAACTCTGTTTCTCAACCCGGTTCTCGGGGTCCCCCAGACAGTCCACATTTTTGCTCCCTCCCAGACAGTCCACATTTTTGCTCCCTCTCAACTCCCAGAATTCATCCATTTCAGCAAGATCAGGCACAGAGAAACACTCTGGTCGTACCGTCACAGGCTCTTAATGTTCCCCTCACTTCCTGTAACACACTAAACAGTTCTGAGGTCTGTGTTGATTTCATGCCCACAGACCAGAAGCATGTTAATCTGTATAATTACAGGCTCTGCTCCTCCAGGAAAAATACCTTCAATTTCATAAAGTTTTTTTGAAAGTTACAAAACCTGCAGGGCTTTGTAGGGTGTTTATGTCGGGTGTAAACAGCTTAATCTTTATATTCCTTTGCACCTTCCTCTGCAGTTAAAATCATGATAAATGCACCTCGAGTTACTGGGATAAGCAGTAAATGAACTATATCAGGGGGACATCTGCAAAATTTATACAGTCTAGAGCAGAACTGAGCATCTTCCTATGATAGTGAAACACTGCAACGTCCAAGGTGAGAATAATTATCTCACCTGCTGTAAGGGATACAGACAAGATGCAAAGTAAGCTGAAGGCTGCACATGGTATTTTGTTGATTTTTCCTTGTGTTTTGTGTGTGTATGAGTCTAATCTCAGATATATATTTTTAAAGTTGCTATGGTGACCATTGAGGATGGGTGACAGCCATCCGCATGCGGATAGATGTCAGGGAGAGTAGCCTCCGAGACACAGCCAGTAAATCCCTAGTCTGCCTGGCTATTTTCCTATTGCCTCCCTTAGGATCCATTCCGACGTGGCTTTTGGCCATTGAATCTCGTGCTGGAATTCCTTTAAAGGGCTAACCCCCCCCCAAAAAAAAAACCCTGCCCCTTTATCTGCAGGAATGCAGAAAATTCAGAGGTTTTCTTTCGATGGCCTTAATAAAGAGATTTAAATTTATTTCTTAAGAAAGACCTGGGGGGGCTTGGCGTGGGGGGGTGGGGAAAT